AGTGAAAGGAGGGAGCTCCAGTTGGAGACTAATTCCATTGGCGGTAGAGCTGCCGCCCCCTTTCCGCATGGATGGAAGACTTTGCGCTCACCAGCCAGTGGCTTCCCATGAAGAAAGTCCAAATTGGGACCTTAGAGCCGGTCACTTTCGAGGATGCCAATGGGTGGTTCAAGTTTCGAATGAACCATCCCGGACGCGGTACAATGTCAATTTCGTTTTATTGGCGGCTACCGACATGCTATGAGAGGCCCAAGCAATTTGGACGTGCCCAGCTGTGTGTTGACCTGGACTACGTGCGAAAAAAACGTTTCGGTGATCCGTCTGATGTGCACCGTCATCGTGAGAATGATTTCCCTCTGTTACTGTTGAAAGTCGTGCGATTTGCCCGTCGTACATCCAGTGCTAGGAACGTTAGCGTATTCAGCCACTTATCTCGGAAACAAGGATATGCATTGACACTTGACGTGTTCAAAGCTGGGATTCAGCTAGAGCTAATCCATAGCGGTAGCTGCGACTCACTACGCATTGATGGAAGACTTAGCGCTTACAGCAGTGCGTCCATGAGAAAGTACAAATTGTGACCTAAGGCGTTCACTTCGATGATGCAATGGTCGTATCATGTTCGAATGAACCATCCGGACGCGGTACAAAGTCAATTTCGTTTATTTGCCGCTACCGACATTGCTACGAAAGCTAAACAAATTGGACGTGCCAACGGTGTGTTGACTTGTACTACGTGCGAAAAAACGTTCGGTGATCCGTCTGATGTGCACCGTCATCGTGAGAATAATTTTCCTTTGTTACGGATACGAGTCGTGCAATCGCCCGTCGTACATCCAGTGTTAGGAACATTAGCGTTTTCGGCCACTTGTCTCGGAAACAAGGATATGCATTGACACTTGACGTGTTGAAAGCTGGGATTATTTTAGCACTAACCCATACAAATACCGGCGCCATATTACGCATTGATGGAGTTATTGTTGCTTACAAGGGTAAGTCCAGTGTTAGGAGCGTTAGCGTATTCAGCCACTTATCTCGGGAAACAAGGATATGCATTGACACTTGACGTGTTGAAGCTGGGATTCAGTTAGAGCTAATCCATAGCGGTAGCTGCGACTCACTACGCATTGATGGAAGACTTAGCGCTTACAGCAGTGCGTCCATGAGAAAGTACAAATTGTGACCTAAGGCGCTCACTTCGATGATGCAATGGTCGTATCATGTTCGAATGAACCATCCGGACGCGGTACAAAGACCAATTTCGTTTATTTGCCGCTACCGACATTGCTATGGGAGGCCAAGCAATTGGACGTGCCAGCTGTGTGTTGACTTGGTTACGTGCGAAGAAACGTTCGGTGATCAACTGAGATGCTGGCATCCTTCTTGGTGATCTCGACCACAGGTCCCGAAATGTCGATCGAGTTGTCGAATAACACGAATACCAGCAGCATCAACCCACGTACTTCTGGCCAGCCTGGGGACACAAGAAGCTGACGGACCGGGTTCGCGAGCCACTTCTTCTCCTCTACGACGTGTGTCGACGAGATCAGCGCGTTCAGCCACTCTTTGTCGCTCACGGACGCGGCAAGAGAAGCCAGCCACTCGTCAGCAGAAGGCACAGTGCTTTCCTCCTCGGAGATTGACAGTTCTACGCGGCCTTCGCTCTCCGTGACCTCGACGTTAGCGAAGTTCACCGTCTGCTTGGCAGACGCAGCCGTGGCAGCAGCAACCGCGCCGCTTTCCTTCACAATGTTTTCAAAACCGGTGGCAATGCCATTTAGGATATCCGCCACGGGTTCGTCCACGACAGTACTGTAGCGAACGGCCACGGGGCCTTGAAGGAGGAAGACACGCTGGGCGTCACGTTCCGGAACCGGCGTCCAAGTCCTCTGAGTACCACAGCGAGTCCTTCTTAAACCATGTCTTGAACTCCGTGTCGATCGCAGGCACAAAGTTCACGGGCTTGCCACCAGTGCGGCACAGATCCAGGAAGAAGTCACAGTCCGG